CCCTCCTCCTTTCCCTCGCATTACCTTTGCTAAACACACCACGAACAAACACACATCTGGACCACCGCCTGGGCTCTGTGTACGAGGAAGGCTACTGGTACTTCACTCGCTGAAGTCAAATTGTACCAAGATAATATTATCGACGATACTGACACCAATGCCATGGGGAAACATCGAGGTAGAGGTAGAAAACGACCTCGACCAAATCACATATGGGACCCGAACACCAAGGTCGGGAAAATGCGCTTGGTTTACGAGCGATCGAAATAAGAGTCGGAAAGCAACCACCCACAATGCTACTCGCTATGGAGAAGGCGAGACACCTGGCTAGCCACTGCGAAAGACAAAGGGAATATCCCTATTGGTGCATACGAACCCCAACGGAGTGGCAGGCCATACCCCATATGGATCTCATCCGGGGAAGATAGCAACAGTGGGAAACCACTTCCCCGCAAGAACACAGTCACCATATATTGAGCAGTATTATTGATAGTATTATTGAGCAGTAGAGCATTGGTATAAAACGGTATATATATGACATTTTTACGGTGCGATATGGTAACCAGACTGGACCAACATTTGAAGATATTATATATAAGGAGGGTGATCAATATGGTGGTATGTACCCAACGATGTTAGATACGAATAGTGATGAGACAGACAATCCCGTTCGCATTACCCAAGAACAGTGTGGGGGATCAGCACACTTTCTGGAAATGCAAATCGGGCAAGACATTCCTGGTAAGACTTGTATTGGTATGTATAATTAGCGCCAACATATGGCTACGCTGAAGCAATATCGGGCATTCCCACATTGGGAAACAGTGTAATTAATGACATAAAAATCATGTTCAAAGTGCTTCTAGCGCTACCAAAACTGTACAAACATACTTTAGTAGGAGCCTGATAGCTTATAGCGATGCGAAAATCTGTGGGTAACCGCGTATTGACCGTCGAAACCGCAAGGAAGGGGGAACATTGAAAATGAAACGTGTCCCTTGCAATTAGGATAATCAATTTCTGTACACCTTTCATAAAAATTCCCATACACCCAGGTGACAACGAAATTGGGAATCAAATTCCGCTGAATGAACCAGAAATCTGCACTTCAAAGAGCCAGCCAGCAACATCTGAGAGGAGCACGCATGCAGTCATTCCGGTTTTAGCTCAGCCACCCACCTCTCTTGGATTGCGGAGCAAGCCGGCATTTCGGATCCAGCCGTTGTGCGATACTAATCATCTCCGATAGGACTTGAGGAGGACGGACTGTAAAGTTGCAGAGTATACTGCACTGCGTCTGCTCCTTGCTGCTGCTCTTGGCTGACCCAGGACTTCGAAAAATCCCCACAGGTACGAACAAACTCCTTTGTGTGTGGTCAAAGATGGACTGCGTCTCTGTACAAGCCCAACATGCCACCATCCATGCACAACATACTGCTGCTGCCGTTCACCTGTCGCCGTCCTTCCATGTCTACCTGTCCATGACACATGCTGCCACTTGATGTGACATCTGGGAACAACACGGACACAGGGAGTATCCCCGTACCCATACGCACAACCTCTCATTCCTCCCTTGTCAAACAAAAATGATGTAGCATGCATGAAATTATAAACTCTGTCTTACTTACGGTCCGCGCTGCCCACAAATGGGAGAGGTAGCCATGCCTCCTGCCTACACACGGACGAGAGACGTGAACATACCCACTGCATTTAACACAAACCCACATGTCGGTGATAAATCTCATCAACCACACGCCTCTATCGGCGACCACGTCATCAGGAGGCAATGATGAGAAAATGTTCTCCCGTGCCCTTCGCACATTTAACATGAATTTACACAACATAACATGTATGAAACACACAAGACAGCTACCAAACTGATTTTTTGAGCCTGTCACCCGCAGGGGAGTTGTCCCTATATGCTGTCTAGGAAATCGTAGACATACAGACAGGTAGTCTTCTCTGACGCTATGATTCCATTGTTAATCTGTCTCTGACTCTTTCCTATGATAGAGATGGACTCGTTGTGTATTTTTTTTTTTTGAACGGTGAGACCACGCCCGTGTGCCCGCACATCAGCCACACATACTCCGCACATATGCATACCAAACTGAAAATACGTTTGTAAACTGATGGAGATTGCATGTCCTACAACTAACAGGGTGCGACACACAAAACGCCCGACTACCCAACAGTACCCAACATCATTCGTCTGCACCTTCCCAACATAACATATATGAGACACACAAGACAGCTACCAAACTGATTTGTTGAGCCTGTTACCCGCAGAGGAGATGTCCCTATATGCTGTCTGGGAAATTATAGACACACAGGTAGTTTTCTCTGACGCTATGATTCCATTGTTACTCTGTCTCTGACTCTTTTTTATGATAGAGATGGACTCTTTGTGTCATATTAAGAAAATAAAAAAGGGGAAAAAAAAAAGACAAGAACGGAGGAAAGAAGAAAGGAAAGAAGAGGAGAACAAATAAATAATGAAGTTGAAGATATAGTCTATTAACATTTATTAATAATGGAGAGCGAATAAAAATAAATAATATACATAAATAATGAAGAGGAGTGACCAAAATCGGGTACACCCGGCCCCAATCCGGCCATTCATTATCAGGTACCTTGTTTTACATGTTTTACACAGTCGGCAGCGCCCTCCTCCTGGCGCCATCTGATTGGCCGCCGCCCGCCGCTACCCGGCCCTGACCCTATTCCCACCGGGTGCACCCGATCTTGGCTACTCACCTTACGGAGGGGTACCCAATCTTACTCTCGCCTACCCGAAAATGGCTGGGCTATTCGACCACCAGACCACCAGCAGACCACGCTCACGAACACACGTCACCAATACCCCGCACTCGAGTTCCGACGCTTCCAACGGCGGACGGAGGCGGACCTAACACGGCATACGCGGCGGAACTCTCGTTTGAAGTGGATCAGTGGATCTCTCTCCTGCAAGACTCCTCCTGCACCCCACCGCCGACGGCGGAACTCTCTCGGTTCTCGTTTTGTATCGGAGAGGGAGGAGAGAGAGGGCCAGGCGGGCGGCGGTGGATGAATACCTCTCAATACCTAACGTGATCACTTGAGCTGCACACAAATACATGACGCAGCTCAGATATGACGGACGGAAGCATCAGGGTGTCGCTTTCGAATCATGTATAGTCTATGTCTTTGTTCCTACTCGGTAGGCGGCACCGAGTCGATGGTTGATTGGTGTGTCCATTGTATGTAAGCGTGCATGCGTGGACTGGTAGGTCCTGTACGACTTGGTCGCAATCGCTCTTATGATTGTGAAAACGCTTGTAGTCAGTGGTGGTATGTCGGTCTATTCCACTGGCATGGAGATCGCTCTCCATGCCAACGGACATCACGAGAGGGTTTGTCGAAAGTTTGTCCCTCAGAGAAAAGAGTGAGACGAGATGGCGGCGTGAAGTATCGGGTGGATAGTTCCCTTTCGAGACATATCGGTTGATGGGGAACCCTGTGGTTCTGCCATATTGCATTGGTTACAAGTACAGGATGAGGCGTTAGTATATTATGAGCTGATAATATAGTACCTAGGGGGGATGTTGCGGTTCGAGACATTCATTTTCCCGCAAGTACACCCCCACAGAGGTAGTTGGCCGCATTCTGCGAAGCCTCTGCAAGAGCTGTCCGGACTCGCCCTCCTCTGCTCACAACTACCATCCTGAGCTTGAAACTAAAAGAATAAGACCATAACATCCACAAGGAGGCCTTTGCTCCGACGCTACATCGGCTACTACAGCTGGTACGAGTACCTTCACTACTCATCGCACTCGGTACAGTCGTTCGATTGCACGACGAGAGGTCAGTGTGTGTGCATCGCTGCATGAGCGAATACCCTGAATAATCCCCTCTCTCGCGCCAGAAAACGTGCCGTGAACGGGAGCTGTACGTACTTACTGATAACACACTCTAGACCTCCACCGCTACGTGCTAACGACTCGTTACACACAGACACTTTGCCATACACACGCCGCTTACACCGCCAGTGCTTGGGAGTGGTGGCACCCCTAGGAAATTGTGATGACGTGATGACACCGGAGTTTGATCGTGAAAAGCAAGGACGGGATGATTCACTTCAATTTTCACGCCGGCCTCGGCTACTATTAGTCTAAGACACTGACTGCACGTTGTTGTATCCCGAGATGACCAATGAATCCCCGCATCTCCGCTGTCTGTGTGATGGCTTAACAAGTTTTTGCGTGCTGCTGCTCTACCGCAAGGTTAAAATGCAGTGAGAAATTCCGGCGTTCTTTGCAACCTTTCTGTTGCATTTACAGTACCATCGGGGCTGGTATGTCCTGTCGAACTCACTACCACTACGAAGCCGTCCTTGGTAGCGTAGGTAATCTCAGGGACTGCAGACCTTCGATAAACAAACTGGTCTCACGCTTATCGCCAACGAGGTACATTATCACAAGCAAGCACGATCCATCGTTTGTCATATGATAGTCTACATGCGCTCGCGTTCTAATTTTCTCCGGGACAAGAGCAACAAAAAACAACGACAACGACAATAAGGAAGGACGATCAATGGTTTGTCATCATCATATGCACAGTCTACAGTCTATCTACTGCACAGTCTACATCGTGATACGCTACAGTATCACGCGCTCGTGTTCTGATTTTCTCCAGCGTGACAACAAATCAACAGCAGCAGCAGCAGCAACAATAACAACAACGAAGACGACGACAACAAAAACACATTTCAGCAAAAGGGAGCACTTGCATTGCTGGCATTCAAACAAAGGTCAAAACTTGCACAAACCTGCCACTATCTAGACCAAACGAAAACTCTACAAAAACACATGCAAAATATACAGCGTTTGTTTGTTTTCAAATGGACAAGGAGTCGAACCAAGGGCGCGCAGGAGCATTCTCCGCCACGGACGAGGAGCAGACCGTTCACATCGCAACGTTCCTCTCCTCCCGGAGCTGAGCCGTCGCCCTGAGGATGCCCAGGTAAGAGACGGGGCCCTGGAGCCCCTTCCTCCTTCGTCGGAAAACACCCGGTGAAACACCCTGTTCTGCTGCAACAGCTTCAGCGCGGCGGCGTTGAGGAGGACGGCAAGCAGGGCCACCCAAAACGCTAGCATCAAGCCTCGCCAGGACATCTCGCGGGAACTGCGCAGGGCGACGGCCGTGACGACGAGCACCGCAACCAAGATCCCTTCCGAGCTCTCCCGGCGGCCGAAGACGACGAGACAACACATCAGGAGAGGCGCCCACGCGGCCACGGAGCAGGCGCACACGAGGGCCCTGCTGGTCCACTTCGTCGCGACGACTGCGCACTTTTTCCCCCCCTCTACTAACAACGCCGCTTCGTCGCCGTGCCGGGTTGGTGAAGACCGCGGGTAGTTTTCAGCCGCCACCGCCGCGGCCGCGGCCGGGGCTCGTGCGAGGTGCATCGTGCAAACCGTCGCCGCCAGCACCTCCAATAGAAACGCCAGCCGTTCCGTGCACTCCTTCGGCGACGACCAGATCGTGCTGTAGGTCATCCAAGCACGAAGGCGGGCAGCACGACGGGGGAGCAGACGACACGCGTCGGGCCGGACCTGATCGAGGCGAGGACCCCCCGCAGAGACAAGCCCAAGCCTTGCGCGGCCGGCGACGACGACGACGACGGCGCCGCGGCCGAGGAGGCGTTTCCCCCCCTCCGGCTCATCCTCCGCCTCAGCCAGCCCTTGCGGATCACCGGGACCGCTTGGCGGCCGGCGGAGACGACGCTGTGGGTCATTCCAAGGCCCAGAAGCAACGCCCCGCCGCCTGGGTGCATGCATTGCAACAGGGAGACACGCGCATGTTGGAACGACCGCAAGAATTTATGGTGCTTGTCTTTCGGTGTCAATATACCGACGTTTGTTTTTAAGCACGTGATACGGCTTTCCAGATACTACATGGGGAGGAAAATCTTGTCGGCGGCTGAAAGACCATTTTATGTTGAACAAGAGCAGCACTTTGCGGAAATGATCCACGGGTCTCTTGCCGCCGCCGTTCTCAGACTTTTGTTGTATTCGTATCCCCATCCTATCCCCAGTTGAAGTTGAGCTTAATATCTTTTGGCCGGAGCGAACTCCCAACTTTTTCCTCAAAACTCAAGACTTCTTCGCATGCATGCCACGTCGAGCCGCTCGGGTTAGCTCTCTTGGAAAAAGGGATGACTCAGGGTTCGTTTGTCCGTGTCCGTGTTCCACAAACCACAACAACTGAAAACGGCCTCATGCAGTCTTGCTCCGCCTGGTACGTTGAGACATGAGCGATAATTATTTTCGCTTCGACGCACCTGACACCACCGCCGCCGTGATGCACAGCCCGAAGACAGCGGAGGTGGCGAGGCACTCTTTCGCCGTTTTCCACCCCCAGCGCTCGCAGCGACTGTCGACGCTGCCACGACGCAGCAAGTGCACGTCGTCGAGCTGGCGCAGAAGGAACTCGCCAAGACGAGGAGCGACGTGCTGAACGGCGGCAGCCAGGGAAAGCACCCCGAAGCAGGACAGGCACGGGCGGTAAAGCATTTGGCGGGGAAATTCTTCCTCCTTTTGTTCTGCTTCTCTCTCTTCGTTCTCGAATCCTTCGTCCTACACCCCTTGCGAGATGACCACCATCGCGAAGGACGCCACATACCTGCCGCCGCGGCCGAGAAAAACAGAAATTCAGGTGATTCATGAATCAGAAGGCACCGGGCGTCTTTGATACGGAGATTCAGTTGACTGCGTTAGGTACCAGACCTCATCATCGGTGTAAAATGACACTTTCTCACGGCACGCCTCGGTACCGTGCCCTCCGCTCTACGATAACGTTGAGAGGTTGTGCATATCCGCACACTCACGACTTTTTTGCCAGACACCGTTATGTACTAATCCTCCTTGGGTACTTGCGAAAAGACGTTGTACAATGTCAGCCAATACTAATGATACTGATGGAAACGACAGTGCCTAGATACCGTAAAAGGCAGAGAGATGGCACCGGGTGCGATCGTTCGTCCTATGATTTTTTTCTTCGTTCTACATGTATCGCATTCCGGTGCGACTCTCCAATCGCTGCTATCTCTCCAACCACGTTGCGGAAACGTAATCAAATCATTTCGCTTGGTTTTTATCATGGCACCCCGGTGCCATCTCTCTCCGGCCGGTACCATCTCTCCGCCTTCTACGGTAATCACCTAGGAGTATTGCCGGAATAGTCTTCGTTATTTTGATTCCGTAATCGGATCGTTGTACACATCTCCGGGTCATATATACATTGAATCATAGAATTACGGTGTATCAGACTATTGCCCTACAGGGTGCTCTTGTAACGTTGCTACAGGTCAGATTAACTGTCTGCTACTGTGATCGGTACGTTGCAACAGCCCTTGCGTGCTTTCTTTCCAGGACGGGGATGGATGGCTCGCCCCGGTGGTACTCGCCCCCCCCCCTCTTCCACTCCCTTTCTCTTTCCTTCCCTTTCGGCCAACTAAACGCCAATTTAAACCATCTTCTCTAGTCGACTCCCGTGAAACATCGAGACCCGCCGCGTGTAGCTCGCCTTGACGATGCGGACGTTTGCTAGTTATGGTACCTTTGCCGGCATCGCTGCGATCGGATTGGCCAATGATAAGAACGACAGCAAGCGCCAACATCCGCGCTTACCCGGACGCGTTGAAGCTGAAATGAGCAACTGCCGCACGCGCCGGCGAGAGGTGCGCGTCCCCGAACGTCACGACCACACGCCGGCAGGATTCGACCGTGACCACCCCGCCCAAGAAGCAACATAACATATATGAGACACACAAGACAGCTACCAAACTGATTTGTTGAGCCTGTTACCCACAGGGGAGATGTCCCTATATGCTGTCTGGGAAATCGTAGACACACAGGTAGTTTTCTCTGACGCTATGATTCCATTGTTAATCTGTCTCTGACTCTTTTCTATGATAGAGATGGACTCGTTGTGTCATATTAAGAAAAATAAAAAAAAAGAAGCGCGAACAGCACCCGATCACCACGCGGGGTGCTATTCGCGAAGAAGAACCGGGCGCGTTGCAGCGAAACACCGCTGACGATGAGGGGCAGAAACCTCTGCCAAAGCGGGGCTGGTTGCAGACGGCGCCAAGGTTGCTAGTGTTTTGCTTTCGTGCCTCCGACAGTTCTTTTTTTTTTTTCCTGCTTTTCCTGTGAACGGTGCTGCGGTAATCAGGTGGGGGGGGGCGGGGGGGCAGAGATGGTGGGCAACACGCTGCAGGCTTGGCAAAAAGTGCAAGACACGTTGGGGGCGCGTTTTCAACCCTTTCAGTCCAGAGACACGTACGCGATGTGCGGTGTATTGTTTACTATGGCGTTGTATGTACAAGCCGCGGTTGCTGTACTCTCCGACGGCCATGAAATCGTTGGCAAGACACCGAACCAACGTGTTTTTTCGCACGCCATGAGCCGGCTTGGGCCGTGCCACAGCCTTGCGACCAGTCCCGATTGCAGTTGCGGCTCGCGAACAAGCAACGTCAACTCGGGGCCGAGGCTCAACTTCTTGTTTTGTCGCCACTGCTGCCGAGCATAGGTTGTTAGATGTATATGGATTTTTTATTTAGGGTCCACTGCTGAGGCGTGTTTCTTGGTCGATTTTTCTTTTCGCGAAAGGCTGTACCATTTCCGTACTTCGTTTTTCACACTTGCGGCCCGCAACTGTTGTACAAGAGCACGCGTTTGGTGGGTACAACAGCTACCGCATGAGATAGGGATGGCATCAAAAACTTTGCCCTGCGTGATACGAACCATGCCCAACCTTGCAAACAAACACTGCGTGACTGCGTGATACCCACCATGCCCACGGTCGCAGGCAGAACATGCTCCTGCACATGCACCCACAGTGTCATGGCATTTACAACCTACAATGGAAGTCAAAGGAACAGCGACGTGTGTACTGCTGTGAGAGATAGAAACATAAGCATGGTTTGTTTGCGGCCTACGCCACTTATTTATCGGGTGAGACTGTTTTGGTGATGTATTAACTTCACGGGAGGTAGACGACCATCCTTCACACGGACGAAAGAGGGAGTGCTCAAAGAGCGGCTCCCACAGCAAGGAGGGGCCCCGTGAATCATCGCGGTGCCCCCTATCAAACGGTTATCTTACCAGTCTGCGTGACACAAAATCATCCAGCACATGTATCCAACAGCAATGTTCGCAGACTCACGAACACCCTCCCTGGTTCTTCACGCAAGTGACTAACCATCAATTGGGCAAGAACGCCCCAGGATACATCAGAAAATACCAACATGGTAACATATGGAGGGG